ATTTTCAATGGGAAGCTACATTGATATTGCAGTAAATGCTTTCAGATTATTGACTTTGCCTTAATTTTAAAAGCAGGCCAATTCTCAATCAGTTTTCATGGTTGGTGATGTTACCATTTCCTTTCTATGAACCGGTATGATGCTGTGATTGTTGCTCACGATATCAGAAATTTCACGAGCAGAGCCAGCCTCTTTACAAGATACAAACCAAAGTTGCCCCAAGGACTTAAGACAAATTTATTCAACAATACAATGTGAGAGATTTTGAGGGACACCAAAAAAACAATAAATAAAGTAAGATATAAAAGTCCCTCGCCTTAAGGAGAAGGAAAGTTGGAAAACAGTTTTACAAAACCACAAGATAGCAGTATGTTATGGAATGAGTCAGGCTCCACACTCTGAGAGACCAACCCAGGTTCAAGTACAGACCTACATGCCACTTGTCAGTGGTATCAACTTTTGATCTTCTGTTTTCTTTTTGTATATAATTTTATAGTTTTGACTTTCATTTTTAGGTCTTTAATGCAATTGAGTTTTTACTTATTTTTTAATTACAGCTAATATTCAATATTATGTTAGTTTCAGGTGTACAACATAGTGGTTCGACTGTCATATACTTTATAAAGTGTCTGCCCCCCATATTTCCAGTACCCACCTGGCACTGTACATAGTTATTACAATACTAGAGGCCCGATGCACAAAATTCGTGCAAGGGGCTCAGCCCTCGCAGCCCTGACCAGCCCTCATAGTCCCTCGCAGCCCGGCTTCATCCAGAAGGATGTCTGGACGGTCGTTCTGCTATTTGGTCTAATTAGCATATTAGCTCTTTATTATATAGGATTACTTATTATATTCCCTATGATGTACAGTCTTCTGTTTTCTTATCTATATAATGGGAATAATAAATTATTACCTACTCTCAAGGTTGTTATGTGAATGAGTGGGATGATTTGTGACAGAATGAAAATAATTTTTATGTGTTAAGAGAAATATTGTTTTAATCCCCTTCTGTAATTCTAAAGAGAACAAATTCAGCGTCTTTTGGATGGGCCAGAAGATGGGGGTAAAGAATTAAAATTGAGAGAGTGAAATTGCTTGTGAAAGAAAAGGGAGAGCTAGAGAGTGAACCTGTGGGGGAGGGGGGAAGAGGGAGAGAGAAGGGAGTTATGTCTAGACAACTTAGAATTTCATTGGGAAGAGTTTTGTTTTGTTTTTTAAATCTCTACCCAAGGATATGTTCTTATTGATTTTTTAGAGAGAGAGGAAGGGAGAAAGAAAAATTGATATGAGAGAGAAACATTGATTGGTTGCCTCCCATATGTGCCCTACCAGGGATCAAACCCACAACCTCGGTAGGTATGTCCCTGACCTGGAATCAAACCCATGGCCTTTTGATGTATGGGATGATGCTCCAACCAACTGAGCTACCTGGCCAGGGCAAGAAGAGCTTTGAAAGCCAAATAAAGAGTTTGTACTTGAGGTAGTGAGCCATCAGGAGCTCTAGGAAGATTTTGAGAAAGAATATTCAATCATGGAGATTTTGTCTAAAGAATTGATTCTTCATGTTATGAAATGTGATAATGAAGCAGTACTAGAAAGAGCAGAAACTTTTTTTTTAATTCTATGAGTATATTAAGAGTCAGGTACTGTCCTAGACGGTGGGGATGCAGCATGAAAAAAATGGACAATTCTCCCTGTCTTCATGGTGCTTCCCTTCTTAGTGGGACAATCAGACAGTGGACAAGATAAATAAGTAAAATACGTTGCATGGCAGGTAATGATAAATACTAAGGAGCAAAATAAAGCAGAAGCAGCAGATAGGAAGTGCCAGCATTAGTGGTGACGGTGAGGTTCAATTTTTTATCAAGAGGGGATGTTTGAGGAAAGACTAGAAGGAAATTAGGAGAACAAACATATAACAGCAAATACATTAATAACCTTGCGAGAGGAGGCTCCTTGGATGCTTGGCAAAGTGTCTAGTGAGGAGAAATGAGGGCGTGGAATGAGAACAGAGAGGCCCAGAAGCAGCTGGGCTCTGTAATGACATACCTTTCTCGAGCCTGCGTTGCTTTTCTTCACAGAATTTACATTACCTGATATTGTATTACATATCTATCTTTTTTATTGAGTTCATATCTTTTTCCCCCCTTCACTAGAAAATAAGCTCCAAAAAGGCAGTACTTTGTCTCTTCACTGTAACAGTATCTGACCAGACTGGGGATCGATTTTATTGAATAAATTAATGACAGAAAGGGAGGAGCCTAGAACACAATGTTAACTATGGAAGAGTGAAAACAGAAAGGGTCTTTGCGTTTTACAGAAAGGCATTTACTGGTCTGGGAGCCTCCATGGGTCCTCGATGATGATAAATGCTTGGGGTAGAGGGTTGAGGGACAAAGAAATAGAAGGAAAGAAACCAGGCAAAGTAAAACCAATCAGTCCTTAAGCTTCCTTGACATCAGTTGAATCAGATAAGGGTTACACAGCTGACTGTGGTGTGTTCTTTTGTTCTTTCCCTAACTTATTTATGATGTATTTATCCTGTTAAACAGATACTTCACAAAATTGAGGTTTGGCTATGATGCCAATCCATTGCATTCCTTGGGGACTGACAATTCCACTCTGCTCATTGTTAACGTAATTTTAATTAAGGTATTGAAAGCCCCTTGTTCAGACTTAACTATAAACTCATTTACTGTGTGGGAGGTGTTATCTATTTCATGACTGAGTGAAATTTTAGGAAAACAATATCCCTAAACTGCAGAGGTAAGCGTACAGGCTGCAGACATTCCTGTAATGGAGTAATATATATGAAAGAGCTTTATAAATAGCAAAGTACACAAATAGTGTTTGATGAAGACAGCTACCTGCCTGTCTCCTTGTCTCAGCTGGAAGACATTCAGACCTTCAAAACCACAGTACATTGTCATAGAAGGGAGCATCCAGGAACTCAGAGACTTACATTGTGTTATGTAAAAGAAAATACTGTAGGCTGTGAATTATTCATCCAAAATCTTTTAAACATTCCTACGGCAAAGAATAAAGAAAACACTAGAAAGGAAAAGAAGGAACTCATTCTTGCGATAGAGATGGCAGATCTTTGTATAAGTAACATTTTTGGGGGAAAAGGGACATATCTGATCTTCATGAAATCAGCCTTCAAGAGGCAGAGCTCAAAGCAGAGGACTAAACAATGAAATGCAAAAATAATTTTATGAAACTGTGTTAATAGCACCAGCAACAGAAGTTCCTAGCTGGGAGTGCTGTCATTTTTATTAATCTTAGCTGCTTCCATCTTATCTGTTTTTAATCATAAGAAAGATTTTCATTAAAGAAAATGGAACACATCCTAAGCAGGATCATCATAGATGATAACAAAGTGGTTATAACTTAAGGCATTATATAGTTCCTCTTGTAAGCTTATCTTGTGGTTGCTGCTAACCGTTGTGGGAAAGAGTTCATGTGGCTTATAAACTGGTCAAAACATATTTACTTCAAAGTGAGAAACACTTAACAAAGTATATAGATTTTCCTTAAATATCAGCACATCAAAAGAAACCTTTAAATTTTATGATACATCAGAAATAAACAAGGTACATTTTAAGGCCATTTCGCAAAATGAACTTTTAAAAATACATGTATTTTATTTACTTCCCGGAGCATGAATTTATTTACAGTATAAGTACAAAAATATTTTAAACACACAAAAGTAGCTTAGCGTCAGTTTTATTTATTTTCCTCTGCCTACAAGGTTTTCTTTCCCTGGATTTGGGTAAACTAGAAAGCGGTGATGCTGGACAGCCTCCGTTCTGTCGCTGTTAGGCTGCATGTGTGCCCATTTCACCTGCTTTCTGACACACATGCATTTCCTGGGAAGGGAGAGAAGGCGGGTTGAGAGCCTCCGCCTCCCACGTTTGTTCAGCATGGTGGAGAGGCATGAGATAGAAACACATCCACAGTGGGCGAGCTCAGAAAACCGACAGCTCCACCTTCCACCAGGCAATGGAAGGGAGCATGGTTGTGTCTTGGTGTGTGTTCAGGTGTCTTCAGATCAAGCAGCAGATGGGAGCTTTGCTTTACCTCTGCCTTTGCCATTTTTCTTTTCTACTGCCTGTTCCCCCCTTCTCACAGATTCACAAAAATACATAATGTGGGGCGCATTCTAGGTCTATTTTTCTAAAAGACATGAACTCTCTCACCCTCTCCCAAAGAAATACATTCCAAAAATGTAAGTTTGTTTTGTGTGAGCCTTGCTGAATGGGTCATAGAGGATTCCCGAAGTGATGACCTGGCTTCTATATGCCACCCCACAGGTCTCCCACCTACGCTGTGCCCCCCCACTCCCAGCATCACACATACACATCTGCTCACTCAGGTGCCACCAACACTCCTGGCCCTTGCATTTAACACATTAAGGCTTTATAGCGCCTTTTAGACAGATTTTCTTGTATTCTGTCAAAAGGTAAGGTGTGTCTTCCCTCACCATCCCCATCCCCATCTTCTTCCCCATCATGCTTTGGGGCCTCAGACCCCAGGCTCCAACCTCCCCAGAGTTTTCATTGCACTGCTGTTTAGCTAATACTCTGCTTGCTCTGTACCAACGGGAGGTGTGATGATCCTCTTCCAAATAGCAGAGGCTCCTTTGTTGCTCCTGGTGAATCAAATACTTGGCTCATTTGTTGCAGTCATTATTACACCTATGCAAGATAATGGATTTTTGAAAATATCTGTGCAAAGATGGGTAGAATGTAAACATCCCTTTAAAGAAATGATAGAAGTAAATATGACAGTTTATAATGCATTCATCCTGGTGATGCATGCCACAATAATTTCCTACAACACGTGTGATTGTCACCCTTCATAACATACACGTAAAACTGTACTTTGGGCAATGCTGTGGTCTCTCCTTTGGTGCGGGCACTGATGTTCAAGGTCGTTTTTGCACCCAATGCTACGTCTTATGTTTTTGTACAGCTTTAAATAAAGAGCTTGTTTTTCAGATTTTAGATCAAAGTGACAACAATGTTTTCTTGAAACGTGAAAAAAAGGAAGTTCCCCTTATGAAAAAAGGTAAAAAATAGAATTCAGTTTATATATATGAGCTATAATGTTTGAGTTGTTTTCAATATGACTGTGTGACACAACTTCTGTGGGCCATAGGTCACAACTTTGGTAGCAGTTTGGATGTAAAAAAATTAAGTTTGTCATTTCAGAAGCGGGAGGAGGGAAGAGTAAACAGCCACCAACTGCATGTGTTTTGAAGGGGCAGAAAGATACCTCCTACCTGAGAATCGTGCCCCCAGCACTACTGCCACACTGACTGAAACACCCAACACTAGACTTACGTTACCCTTCTCATTGAATTCTGTTTCATAATTTGCTGAGGATTGATATCAGGTCTATAATTTTCAGAATCTGTTTTGAAAATTATAATGGCATTCCCCTATTTTCAATCATTTAATCCTTTTCCTGCTTATCGTGGTTCCTCTGAGATCAGTAAGAGTGATCACATTTATTAGTTCCTTCATGTCTTTGGGGTCTAATTTGTCTCAGGTGAGAGACGTGAACTTTCTTTTAAACATAAAGTTGCCATGTTATGTTATTCAATTTAAAGACAATTTCCCTGGGGAGAGAAGCTGGGAACAAGCTGGACTCAGGAAATTTTATTTTCTTAGTCTCCATTAATTCTTTTACTATGTATTCACTCTTTTGCTTTAATATTGTACCGTTAGGCCTAAGCAGTAAGTACATTATTTTCATTGTCATCTTATTATTGTCTCATTAGCAAGTCTCAGCTCATTTTGGCTTCACTATTCACAATCATTTTTGTGTTGATCCATGCCATCATTTTGTGTCCACATTTGGTTGTAAGCTCTCCCTTCATACTTTGTCGCTTAGGTAACCTAATCACCCATTCATTCCCATCTTCATATTTGAACTCATTAGTGAGTTCCCTAAGAAATCACACTTTTTCTTTTCCATCTTAATTAGGATAATTTGATATTTACAATCAGGATTTGTTTTATAAGGAACTCTAAATTTTAAAGCCAGTCTTTTACAGAAGTTTTAAACTATTAAGAGACCTTCAAGTATGTGCCTGTTGGGTTTCCCAATTGTAACAGAAAAATTGTTAATACAATTTTGACCCTAAAATTAATATTTAATTTCCAACAATCACCCTGGATTTAGAAGAAACAAATTGTGAAATATTTTCAAATGACTGTAATTATGGATTAGTTGGCTGTTGGATTAAAAAACTTCACTTTGTATGCAAGTCGGTGAGCAAAATCAATAGCACCTTCAGTGTGCTTGGACAACCTCTATCCTCTCACGTTTCCTTAAGGGAGTCAGCAGAGCCTCAGCCATTTACCCACCATCTAAACTTTCCTTGTTCTGTCCTGTTCCTCATGGCCTTTGATGATCCTAAACTTCTTACTAAGGGTTTATTTGATAACTAGCTATTTGGACAGATATCACAAAGAATTCTAGAGATAGGTGGAAGGACACGTTGATTTATTTCTTGTACTGTCCCCCAAAACTCTTAACACCAATCCAAGAGGGTTGAAGCATTTCTACTTCTCTGTGGACTGTAAACAAGTCACTGACTTCTCTGAACCTGCAGTTCTGAGGTTCTCTGAGTGAGATGGCTGATTAGGTAACTCTAGGTCTCTTCCTGATTTAAAGTTGCACTCTCTATCGAGACACATTTCTGATTGGGATCTGTCAGGACATCTTTGAATCTGAACCCAAAATGGAACAGAGAAGGATGCTAAGGGAAGACGGATGGTTGTCAGGGCAGAGGTTAGTGAGAACAGGGAATCTGAACAGCCCCAGTCAAGTTACCCCAAGCACAGCAATAGCAGACAGTGAGCATCACTACAAAGGAATCATGAAAAAACAAGTTAGAGAGGCCCTTGGGTATTACATATACTATATACACTTTGTTAAAAAGGTTATTATGTACTGTCTTGAGGACATATTGGTGCAGTTTTACAAAAGGTAGTTTGAATACAAAGCCAAATTGCATACAGGTAGTTAATGTACTTACAGGTAGTAATGTAAGAACTAATGTACTTCTTTCAGTTTATTATGTGGTAATCAAAAAGTGACTGACTTCATTTTGTTTATGTCCTTTTGAAGAAAAACAGGAGCTGTGCAGTGACATTGCAGAAATAAAGAGAAACTCTTCATTACCTAACTGGAAAAGGTGAGTGTACCGCAATTATATAAATCCAAGTGAGTGAAATTACACTATTGAAAAGTGATTATCAATGTTTCAACACAAAAAGAAAGAAAATAATAGTAACAAGAAAAGCAATTAAGATTGGAACCAAATTTTACAAAGGAGACAAGAAAGAATAGAATGCACTAAATTTCTTACTTTTCTTCCAAACCTTTTCATTTTCTTTTGTGAGTACTGGGAATAATAAAATGAAACAGGCTTACCTTCCTACTCACGGCAGGCAACTAATTCAAATTACGGTAATGTGGTCCAAGAATGGAAAATGTTGCATATATAAGGTATAACTATGAAATCATGAACCCATATTTTGTGTGGCTTATTATCTAATTGTCATACATGTATGCAATTGTAATCATTGCATGCTAGAGTCTTCTTGACATGAGACTTCTCAAGTAAAATATTTTGAATACCTAATAGAATGAAGAGAATGTTTTCCAGGAAGAAAACTCTTATCCTCACTCTACTACAAACCTATTGAAGCTGCTTTTCAGACATTCAGACCGGGTGTCTCTGAATCCACCCCTCCTACCCCTACCTGCTGTTTTTGCATAGGAGCTCCTTGAATAAAGTGCAAGAAAAGACAGAGGAGCTTTTATGTTCCACACTTACTAAACAGTAGTCGCTCTAACACGCACATCCCATCATTCACTCTTCTACTCAAAAGCCTTTCACAGTCCTGTCACTGTGAAGATAAATGATCAAGTCCTGAGCCTGGCACAGGTACCCTTCATTCCTGGCCCTCTCTCTTTAGCCCTCACTTTGTTTCCCAGGTTTCTGAATTGCTTATAGTTCTGTTTTATCACATACCTCCATTTTTTTGTCCACACTACTTCCTTTGTTTGAATGTCCTCTGAAACATGTACACCAGTCAAATTTCATTCAACTCTCAGTTTGAGTGTTCTCTCCTTTGGGGTCCCCCTGACCACAAAGGTATTCACAGAGCCTCTGTTGCAATGATCATATTACATCATTCAGTTTCAATAATTATTTATTCCTAGAGGCTTAGTGCCCAACATTCATGCACTGGGGGCAGGGGGAGGGTTCCTCAGCCTGGCCTGCATCCTCTCACAGTCCGGGATCCCTGGGGGCGGGAAGCAGGCCTAAGTCAGCAGGCGGACATCCCCCGAGGAGTCCTTAGCGTTGCTGTGGAGGAGGGAAAGGCTCCTGCCACTGTTGCTGCTCTTGCCAGCTGTGAGCCCAGCTTTTGGCTGAGCGGTGCTCCCCCTGTGGGAGAGAAGACCACTAGGGGGCAGCTCCTGCATCGAGCGTCTGCCCCCTGTCTGTCATAGTGACCAGTAATTCTGCTGTTTGGTTGATTTGCATATTAGCCTTTTATTATATAGGATGGTCTGACCCACAGTGGTGAGCAGTGCTTCCCAGTCAAGTGGAATTGTCTGTCTGAATGTCAGTCTTCCATTGCATATGGCCTTTATTAAGGACGGGCCATGTCTTTTCTTCTGCATAACTCCAAGCCTCTGAGAGGCATTCCCTGACGACTCCATCTAAAATAGGCCACCCCACTTCTGACAAGGCACACTGTCAAACCATATCATCCTGTTCTATTTTTTTCTAGAGCACTGATTACTATTTTTTTGTTTGTTTGTTTTATTGCTTAAAGTATTACAAACGGTATTACATATGTGTCCTTTTTTTTCCTCTGCCCTTGACAATCCCCTGGCCTCCCCTACTGATTACTATTTTTAAATATCTATCTCATTGTTTCTGTCTCTTTTATTTTTTATTTTTTTTAAATATTTTTTTATTGATTTTTTACAGAGAGGAAGGGAGAGAGATAGAGAGTTAGAAACATCGATGAGAGAGAATCATCGATCAGCTGCCTCCTGCACATCTCCTACTGGGGATATGCCCGCAACCCAGGTACATGCCCTTGACCGGAATCGAACCTGGGACCTCTCAGTCCGCAGGCCGACGCTCTATCCACTGAGCCAAACCGGTTTCGGCTGTTTCTGTCTCTTTTAATGTTTTACATTCTAACTTGCTTATTTTCTATATATTTTTCACTCAACACTAACTCACTGCATGAGAACAGAGGCTGTCTTCTTCCCCTGTGTGTCCTTAGAGTCCTGAATAGCTCCTGACTGAAAGTGGGCACTCTGTAACATTTGTTGAGTGGCGAAATGATGTTATTCCCCCCACGCCCAGTGTTGTGAGGCCATTTTATGGATAATGCTTTAACCTAGAGTTTTATTAAGATTTAAGTTAAAATTTAAAATCCATCCAAACACTAAAATACATTGTGTGTGTGTGTGTGTGTTGTTTCATAACAGGAGGCATTGAGACAGATTCTTTGTATTTCTTGTTTAATCCTCAGCACAGCTCTGTGAGGCAGACACTGTTGTTTTTTGGCCAAAGAAGGAACAAAAGCTCAGAGAGGAATCCCTGTGCTCTAGGGTAGTGCATTTTACCCTCCACCCCTACCACCAGCATAAATCTGCAGCATGCCAAAAATGATAAAAAAAAAAAAAAAAATTGAAGGATTTCTCTTTAGTAAAATTTCAGCATAAAGGAAGTTATGGTTAATGGGCATTCAGACATTGTACAAGTGTTTTTAACAGACAATTAAGCATTATAATGTTCTTCATCTTAAATGAAATATAGCTGAAGTTAATATATTTAATGCCAAAGAAAGGTTGACAATAGAAGCACATTTCATTTGGTATGAACTATTATCCAATTGTTAAAAGACCCATACAGTATCCTATCTAATAAAATGGTAATATGCAAATTACCCTAATGACGGAACGACCAGAAGGACCGCTCAACCAGTCACTATGAGGGGCACTGACCACCTCTTGGTCCCTTCCCCCAGTCAGAAGGCTCTGATTGCCCAATGGTGAACAGGGAACTGGGGTGAGTGGCAGGGGATGCAGGTGGCTCCAGGCCAAGGCCCCCACAGAGGGCAACCCACAGTGGGGGCAGGGCCAGCAAGCAGGCAGGAAGGCCAACTTCTCAATCCCTTCCCCTGGCCATCAGGCTCCAATTGCCCGATGGCAAATGGGGAACCAAGGGGGGGCGGGGCGGGCGCTGGCTGCAGGCAGCCAGGGAAGATGACCCTGATTACAGGCCAGGCCTAGGGACCATACCCGTATATGTATTTTGTGTGCCAGGCCTCTAGTGAAAATATAAAGATATAGAACTCTTTTTAATTTATGTCATCTCAATTGTGAAAGTGATCACAATAATCCATTAATTGACAGACACAACCCTACATGATTTGTTCCACACCTGCCCAACCTGCTTTATTTCCTATATTGCACAGCCTTTGACTTTTCTTGTTTCTACCACACTGAAAGCTTTGGGTTTTATTAACATTCAGCACTACTTTATGCATCCTCATTGTGTGTATTCTCCATGCTGTGGCCAGTTATGTGTTTAAAACACATATCAGATCACCTTATACCCATGCAAGAAACCCCTCAATGGTAGTGCCTGCTCTGCTTGGAATAAACTCCAGCTCCCACTCCATGGCCAGTGCTGTCCTCACTCCACCTCAACAGCTCTGGCCTCCTCATTCCCCTTTGACTAGCCCTACCTTGTTTCTATCCCAGAATCATTACACTTCACCTGGAACATTCTCCTTCCTCCAGATTTGACTAAAGTTTTTTTTCAATTGACTTTGCCCCTGCTTTGTTTTCTTTCTGTACGTACCTCCCCCACCCACAGGCTAACCTAGAACTTTAGTTTAAAGCCTCTTTCACCAAATAAGAGACAAATGGTATATGACTACTGTTGTTAATAATAAATCACTACTGATTTTATTTAATTGTGACCACCCACAAACCTTGGAACAAGATTTTTCAGGAATAAATAGTAATTCTTCTACGTGGGAATTGATTTAATATAACTATATAAATGAGTTTTCAGCATCACACATATGTCCTTACTTTATTTGGTATATATTCACATTTTATTTGTCATATATTGATGTTTCTGAGGTTATTAGTATCTAATGTGATTCCTACTTTCAAATGATAAATCTCGGCTGTTTTTGCCCAGCATTCCAGTGCAAGACTTTGGTCCAGGTTCTGGACACAGAGCCAGAGTTGCTGTGAGTAGTGGCTGTGAAGTTGGTTCTTTGCTGACAAAGTCTTCTCAGAGCCCATCTGTCAAGGAAACAGTAAGAAAACTGACATCTAATTTATGGTAAAGATATTTACTAACATATTTCCACATGCTTTGTTAAAATTTCTTAGAAGTGACAACTCCTGATTTTTTTCCTTATTAAGTGGTAATAATGAGAAAATTTAGTCAAATGACTTTAAGATTTGTCTCCTAACTACACTGACTTAGCTAGATCATGGGTTAAATGTCCCTTGAAATAGAACTACAGTTGCTAAATGCTTGTTGTTACATGGTCCAGCAATATGGTGGACATCAGTCCTCTCTCAGGTACAATGAGTAATTCTTACTGAGTTGGCCTTGCTAAGATAATTTCCTTCCTTCCTTCCTTCCTTCCTTCCTTCCTTCCTTCCTTCCTTCCTTCCTTCCTTCCTTCCTTCCATATTTATTACTAATATCCCTCATGATATTTGTATGACCCTCTAAAAAGTGTCTCTTTTTTTTTGGCTTTAATACTAAACTTCCTGAGGGAAATAATTTTACTTTTTGGCTTGGTGTAGAATGTTAAATTTGTGCCCATGGTTAATGAAGAACTTAGATATTTGAATCTCAATTCTCAAAGAATGGAGAGACAGAGTGGGTAAAGCCCAGGATTCAGTTTTTCCAAATAGGGACCCATCATGGGAGGGGGCTTTACGATCAAGCCAAGTTAGTATACAGAAGAATGCTCTAAATAGGTGTCATGTGAGAGGGTGGGGGGCAGGAGCAGTAGCACCACTACATTAGTGCAGCCGGTTGGTTTTGTTGGGGTTTGCAGACTATGAGGAGACTGTGTGGTAAGAGGCTTTCAGCCAAGGAGGCCACACAGCATGCCCTAGCTGGAAGATTGTTTTTCCTTTGGACAGTTACTTTGACTTTCTGATGAGTGACTGATAGAATATTCCTGGAGAAGAGACTTAGCAAAGAATAGCAGATAGGAAGAAAAAGAAAGGTAGAGGTTGGTTATATATAAAGACAGGGACTCTGTCCTGCAGTTGCCCTGCAAATTTATGGAAACTTCTGTGGCAGAATCCAGGGCTGTGGAGCTGTGCCTATATGGGTATGAAGTCCCCACGTACGGTCCTTTAGAAGCACATTCCCAACAGCTATCCTGCTGTAGGAGAAAGGAGGAAGCACTCTTGCTTCTACGTAGGTGGATCTACCTTGGACTTTGCACCAAGACACATTTTATTAATGATACTAGGGATCCAGAGACAAGCTGTTAACCAAGAAATGAAGCTAGTGTGCTGCATTTCTGAGTACTAAGTTCTGGCCACCAAATCTACCATAGTGACTGGGCTGGCAAGCTTACACCAGCCTGGGAAAGAGGCAGGTGCAGGCCAGACCTCAGTGTTGGATACATATTAAGAGGTTGAAAAAGACCACTTCTCCAGTGATACAGATGGATGTCAGTCTCAAATGGCAATAGCCTATAGCATAGTCCCTGAAGAACAGATTCTCCAACCAGTTTCTTACCTTCTGTCCCTATTTGATCAGAAGTAATATGTAAATTCTCAGCACTGAATTGGGTAGCCATATATTTGAATCCTGGTTTCTTTCTTACTAGTTCTAACATTCATGCATGTCCTTTGGTCACTGAGACATTGTAGTATGCAATAACATATGTATGAGCCTTTGTATATGTGAATAAATGTGTGCATATTATTAAAGTATGGATGTGACCACATGACCAATGATTGTGACAGGCTTTCTTGATCATTAATAGCTATAATTTTTAAACCATTACAATATTTTAGGCATTCACTCAAGTGCTTTGTATATGTTTGCTTTTTATTTCCACAAACTGATAAGATTGGTATGACTTTCAACTTTTTTATGGATAAGGAAACTGAAGCTTAGAGAAACTGAGTAACACACTCAACGTCTCAGAGAAAATTGTACAGCTAAGGGCAGGGCTGGGTTTAGCCTCCTGCTCTCTGATTTGGAATCTCATGCTCCTCAACACTGTACATGTACACACATACATAGGTATATATATATACACACACACACGGGAATATAGACACATGTATACATATGAAAGTGTGTGTGTGTGTGTGTGTGTGTGTGTGTGTGTGTCCATCCACACTATGAGACCTCAAGAGACATGTCTGGTTGTGTTGCAGCAGAGTTTGGATATATCACTGTGTATCATCATTTTCTTTTTTTTTTAACTGGACTATTTTTTGTTCTTCATCTAAGTGGATCATTACTATTCATATTGATGAGTTACACTTGATAAAAAAAGGAGATAATCTGATTGAGTATACTAAGACTTTAAAGTACATCCACTTCTATAATTAGCCATCAATAGAAAATTAAAATTTCCCAGAAACCATCTCCCTAATGAACACGTAGAATCTTTAGTGCTTGAAATGATCATGCTATTATCAACTGAACATTCTGAAAGCTAAATGCATTAATAAATCAGATCTTTTCATACTAGCTTGAATTTTTGTAGTTTTATAAAAATGCTCAGTAGAAAGAGAATTGTACAGAACATGAGGCTTTAATTGGAACAAAATGAATTCCTCATTTACGAGTCTTCTCTTTTGCCTCAACCAGCAGTAGTATGTTTTCTTACATTTCACCAGTGAAAACAGATTTCTTGTCTTCTCTCTCTTTTTTTCCCTCCTGTACTGCTCTGTTCTTCGTCGTGTCTAACATTATTCCTTGTGTTAACTAGATTTTAAATCCCTCAAGGCAGGGGTCCTCAAACTACGGCCCTCGGGCCACATGCAAATACAATAAACTATAGTCCGGCCCTCCAATGGTCTGAGGGACAGTAAACTGGCCCCCTGTTTAAAAAGTTTGAGGACCCCTGCCTCAAGGCATGAAGATTGTGGCTGGTTGTGTGCTATGCGGAGGGCACCGTGTTCTGTAAGACTCACTATTGTTGGCCAGATTTGTTCTTGCTTGTCACATGGTTAAGAGAGTAGTTAGAGCCCTTTCAGGTGTGTGGAATGTTCCTTCCCTCCACTTGGTTCATTTTGGACATGACATCATCCTTACCCTTTTCCACACGGTCGAAGTAGAGTCGGCATCTCTGTTTACTTCCTACATTTGTGATTTTTGATATCTTAGAGTGTTTTGCTCAGTTTAGCATTTTCCTGTCTTGTTTTGTTTTTAACAGTCTGTTTCCCTCAGTACATTTACTATCTAAACCTACAAAAAAAAGATACTTTTTAGAAGGCCATAAAAATGTCTGCTTTTCTAATTAGTCTTGTGGGACAGAATTTCCCAAGAAAAGCTGTTAGTAGCAGCTCTGTGGAGGGGAGAGCAAAAGGCAGAGACAAAAAGGAGAGCACAGCCAACCTGCTTGAGCCTGAGGGTAAGGGTGAGGATGGGGTCCTTAATACCAGGAAACCAGAGAGGTTCAAAATAGGAATAACTCCTCAATCAGAGTTTTCATAAAAATTATATATATAAAGCAGATAGCAATGCTTGGCACATTTTCACCACTTTATAAAAAGTGGTTGAGTCTGACCAGGGGTTCAGTATCTTCAGAAAATACTCAGTTTCCCAACATAGATTACAATTGGCTTAGAATACTTCCCTCACCTGCCCCCAGCCCCTGCTCCCTGCAGCTGGCTAACTCCTCTTCTTTGGGGCTCCCCAAATTATGGGTTAGGGTTCCTTCTATCAGTACCTGTGGTGCTGCATTCTCATTCTCATCTTAACATGTTTTTCTAGAAGTACTTCCTCTGAAGGTTGCTGAAAATCTCTAAACCCAAAAGAGTTCATATCCACCATGAAAAGGACCAATGCTCAGAAGAGAGTTCAGCCCTGTATTGGAGGAAGGGAAGCTGGATTTATGGAGAGAGAGGAGTGGTTTATGGTCGCATAAGGTTGACCAAACCAACCAGTGACTCCAGACACAGCTCTTCTGTCTGTGTCTTGGAGGGCCCAATGAAAGGACTTCCTCTGGAGAGTTAAGTTTTATTTTCTTAGGAAAAAAGTCAGTAAGCCCATAGCCTGTTTCCCTACAGGAATTTTGCAATGCTGAGTTCTCTTCCCAGAGCACTCAGGGGGGTGCTGGGCTTTCCTAAGCTGCTTGGCTAGAGGCAGGAATTCTCAGCCTTCCTTTCTTCCCTCCTTCCCTTTCTCCATCCCTCCCTCCCTCCTTCCCTTCCTTCCATAAACTTTTTATTTTAAGACAAGTGTAGGTTCACATGCAGTAGTAAGAAATAATACAGAGATCCCCTCTACCCTTTACCTGGCTTCTCCCCATGGTAACGTCTTGGAAAACAGTAGAACAGAATCACAATAGGGACATTGGCATTAACATTCAAGACACAGAACAATTCTGTTACCACAGGATTCCTCCTGTTGCCTTTTAATAACCAGACTCCTTCCTCTCCCAGCTTATGCTTTTGAAGAACACTTTAATGCCAGTGGTAAAGCAGTTTGGTGGGCATGAATGTTCATCTTTGCTACGATGTTTAACACCCGGGAGTCAAGGCCAGTCTGACAGATGAGTGCTCTGTCTCTTTTCCTGGCACATTCCCATCTCTGCTGTGCTTTTTTCCCCAGGGAGATTATTCTGCATTTCTTTCCTGAGTACCAGCTACCATCAGAAATTGGCTACTCATCTGTGGAGGAATTTGTGGCAAGCTCGGAGGTAAGCCGGCTTTTGTGGAACTCCGAGGAAATGACAGAAGAGCCTGAATTTGGTTTTCAGTGAAGAAAAACGTGAAGTGTTCCCAGTAAGAGGAACTAAGTGAAGGAAGATGAGGATCTTTATACCAAATGGGTGGCTCAGAATTAAAACCAATGTGGCCAAGGGTTAAATAAGCTTCAGTAAGATCATGCTGACTGAGAACAGTTGGTTGCAGAGATAAATGGAAATGAGACATAGTCCGACTTCCCTCCCTTGCATCAAGAATAGAATTTCTGTCTCTCAGATACACTTCGTCAGCAACCTTAGTGTCGTATTAGAATCACTGAGACTTCACCCGGAAAGATGAAGACAGTTGCATTTATCAAATCTATTCTCAGAGACGGACCATATGTGAGGGAAAGGAAAACTTTCCTCAGCTACCTGGGTGGACAGGCAGAGGCTCGCACTGTCTCACAGTGGGTGTCCTCACGCTGCCCAGTCGCCACAGGCCATGGTGAAGCTCAGTGAGGAGTGCAGGCCCACAGCTCAGAGCTGCTCCGTGTGGAGAAGGGCCAGCGTGGTGCAGAGGGTGGGGGTGTCTGCCCACCCTCATGCTCAGTGTGATTTCTGGGAAGGATGGGTACATGTGGAAAGACTGTCGGTGAAAAGAGCACCAGTTTATTCATTTGGCCAAAGTGCCAGGTGCTTTAATTTGATCCTGGGTGAAGTCCTTAGTCCTCTAATCTATAATCACTGTCTTTGCTTCTTCACCCTGTGCTCTCACCTCATGGTCTCCCGTCCTGCTTCTGACTCCACACTTCACTGCGGCTGTCCTGTGAGGCCACCCGTGACCACTGTGCTGACGTGTAGTGGTCACTTACTTACCGACTGCTCAGGTCTTCAGTACAGTGGACCACTTTCTCCTGCTTGAAGCATTTTCTTTTTGTAGCTTTCATAACAGCACTCCTCTCATTTTCTTGCTTTCCCCCTGTGTTTGCTGGCAGCTCCTTCTCTATTTGGTCTCTAAATGTTGGCCTGTCTGAGGACTCATTCCTGGAACACTTCCTTCTGTCAATGGAATGGGTTTCTAGGTGACCTCAACTAGTCTCTGGCTTCAAATCTCACCCCATATGCCAGTGATCCCCCCACCCCCCGTCTATTTCTGGGTGTTCCCATCTAAGAAATCCAGGCTCCACCTATCTTACTGATATCGCTTTGAATATTTATTGTTTATCATTTACTTTTCCTTCACCTTGATTATGTTCTTTGCAATTTTTTTAACCATGCTGTATTATGTGGACTGCCTTAATCATTTTTTGGAATGAGGTAAGGTATATCTTAGTGAATTAATTTAATTAGACCCAGGCTTAAAAGACCCACTGTATTGGTGTTGGCCAGTTCCAGGCTTTGATATGTTTCTTGTATACTAGATATTGCATGTTGTAACTGCTGTAGACAGCTGATTCTCTAAAAGTTAATATCCTGTTTTATTATAATTTATGAAAACAGCTGGAGCAGTGCACAGAGCAGACAAACAGAAAGCTGAAAATGTGTTTCCAGCAGGTAAGCTTCCTTTCAGTGTAGTCATTTATATTCTACATGATCCTGTATTCCAAAGGAGAAATAATATACATTTCCAAATGCTCTGTTTGGAAGGAAATCAAATTTGCCTTCACTTATCAAGACGTAGAATTTTGAATTTTAAAATGCAAATGTTTCCACAGCATAAAGCTTATGAAATGCTTGGAGTAGGATTGTCATTTGTACTAGAAACAAGACATTCTGAGCCTTTAAGAAAGATAGTCACTGACTAAGCCAGAAATTGATCATAGGTTAAAGTTTTAATTACAGTTCAGTCCTCTCTTAACTTTGTAGATAGGTTCTTGACTTTAAGTGAAATGCTGTAGGCTGTTGATATAAACAAGAGTGAAGTTCCTGTGGGATCTCATCTATGTTATAATGAAACAATGTTGAACGAAACTACCATATTTGAGGGCCTGCTGTACTCTGGAAAAGTTCATATTTCTCTGGCTTTGTTTGTTTGTTTAGTATCTTATCAACAGTTTTTAAAGTTTATGATTTTTTTCATTATAAAAATAGAAAAATAATTAGTGCTACTAAAAGGAAGTAAAAGAAATAAAAAAATCATTCATAATCCCACACCATTCCAAGATCACTGCTATTACTATCTATTACTATTTTGGTGTATTTCGTTACAACTTCTCTCTCTCTCTCTCTCTCTCTCTCTCTCTCTCTCTCTCTCTCTGTCGGTATATGTTTCCAATAATACTGTGTATCTAGGTCTTACAGATTTCCTAGGGGAGGGGGATGGAAAGAGACCATAGAGTCATTCAGTTCTATTAGAGAAAGATCTAAAAACAAATGATATGCCTCAACTCCCTTAATTAACACTCAAGAGAACAGAGACTCCAAGATGTAAACTCCAACCCTAATCCCCAAGTGGAAAAAGGGAGTGAGTGTTGGAGCCAAGACAACCAGAGGTTCACAGATTCCTCAGAGGCCACAACAGTCTAGAACTTTTCATGACACCAAGATCAATGTTGAGAGGTTACTCTTCACTGACACTTAGGTTTGCTCAAACAGGTACCTCAGCAAATATACTAGCATCTTCTTCCATCTGCTAGTGCTGTTAAGGAGGAAACCACAGGCTCAAAATAGCATCACTTGTGTTAAAGCCCATGATACCAAACCTAGATTTAATATCTGACCTAATTCCTGTTTTAACGTCTCCCTGGAAATGTATTCTAAATCAACCAACCTGGAATGTTCTAGTCAATACCAATGAAGCAATTTGTCTTATGGGCTCTCCTCATCCCCCATAGAAAAAAAAGGCAATCTGTATAATAAAAACCCTGTTCCCTTCCCCCACAAAAGATACCTTAGTCTAAAAATAATCTTTTCTTTTGTTAGTAGCTCCCTTGCCCCACCCTTCTTTCTATAAAAGCCTTCTATTTTGTCCAACCCCTTGGAGAGCCCTTCTTGTTACTAAAGAGGATGCTGCTCAAATAATGAATTGCTTAATAAAGCCAATTAAATCTTCAAATTTACTGTTAAATTTTGTTTGGTTTTGTTTTTTTAACAATGCTTACAGCCATCTTCTGAGAAACTATCATAACAACATGCAAATCTATCAAGACTAGGAGGTGAATGGTATTCCCTGAAGTTATGCAAAGCACAACTATAAGCAAAGGCATTGCCTCATCCCTTTAGTAAGAAATAGAGTACATTTGAATAATCTGGTTTTATACAAGAAATGGAATTGTGAAGTAAGTTCCCAAAGACATATAACTAGGCAACCTTGAAATGAAAATTAGAACCTAAACCAGATTTCTTTTTAGAAAGGCTGTATTTGAATTTTAGGGTGTGCCTAAATTTCACATCCTGTTTGATATATTTGCCTTTGATGTTTCTGATCGAGTGTCTACTGGACTGTGATAGGCACAAATGAGGGTGTGTTGTAGGTCTTAGTTTCTCATCATCGGCCAACTGACAATTAGTTTATTTTCTAAATAATGTCTTGTTGAAAAGCAGTAATTGAACATTTTCTGCTTGAAGACTTAATTATCAACATTTCCAAACTAGAATAGGGTAAAAGATTGTTTTCTTTTAATATATTTTACCCTGTGTTAACACTATATTATTATCATTAGTGAATATAAAACTGTGATTGATCAAGAGCTACTAGAGCCAGATACTGAACCTGGCCTTTTACTAGTACATACATTATTACTTCATCTAACTCTCACAACAACTTTGGGAGGTGGGTGCCACTATCTCCATGTTAAGTGGAGAGTCAGAAAGATAAAATTCCAATGTCGCAATGCAAGTAGCAGAGTTAGGGCTGGAACCCAGATTTGTCCCACTTCAAACCTCTCTTTACTATAATGCTTTCTCCCATCTCATTCTTATCCAGATGGTAGTACTTCAGCCTTGTGATAGAGTTTGCAGTATTACTAACAATAGGCATACTACATCTTCTCAGCCTGTTAGTATAAAAAAAAAACACGTTTACTTACTAGACTCCTTGACATCACATGATGAGATGTATATGGGGGAGATGACAGTGAAGTGTTGGAGGCAGAGTGTATGTGCATGTGTAGGCAGATTTAGTGTTCCATCAAGAAATGTCCCAATGAAAGTCTGTGGCAGCCACTTGAAGAAAGCCCAGTAAGTCTCCTGGATCTTCCCGCAGATCTTCATCTGCTGGTTAGGAAACTCTTATTTAAATAGTTACACTGTAAAATTTAGAAATTTGCTAAGAATTAGATTGTCATACATCTCAGGTTATCCAAGCTTATATATGTCATTCATATCTATTTTTAAATAAATTTTTAGTAATGGATCCAAGTGGTTGGATCTTGGAGACCAGACTGAGTAAGAGAAGTGTTTATTCAAGGTGAACTGTACTAGCAGAGGTGATGAATAGAACCCCCTTAAGGTTCAGGGCAGGTGGAATTCGAAGACCCAAAGCAAAATAAGTAGTCAGGAGACCATGCGTTCCCGTTGAAACGGAGATGTTTCAAGCAAAACAGAGAACAGTTAGAATCCCGATTTCCCCAATGTGACTGCTTGGTCCTAAGGACTTTGTTACCGATTGTTAGCTTTAGGTGGTAGTTATAAAAATCTGCTGCATTTATTTCTTGAAGTCCATGGAAGACAAATCCAAGTTGCTTTAAGGTGTGTACTTTTAATGAAGAGAGCCACATCCAATCCCAGGAGGACCCTTGGTCACTCACAGACTTCTTTGGTCGCCTCGCCCTGACATCAGTGGTCTTCATAACTACTGTGGGAGCAGTCAGTGAGTCATGACAGCATTGGCAGTCCTCCCCAACCTGAGCTGAACTGTCACAGGCAGCTCAGGGATCCCAAAATGATGTTATGGGACAGCCTCCTGAGTCGGAGGGAGGGGCTGTCCCCACCTTGGATTCTTGTCAGTTTCGAAAGACTGAGTGACCCTGATTGCATTGTGATAAAGCCAATTTATTAAAGCAAGCAAATTCATTAAAGAAGCAAAGGCAAGCAAGTCTCCTTCATCCGGCTCAGATCATGGATGGGCATCACTCAGCTAATTTGAGGAGCCAGTTGGGTGGGGGTTTGAGGCATTAAATAACCTCCTGTCTATAGGTTTCAAACTTCCTCTGTTGAATATCTTGTTACAGGTTCATTTTCAAGGTCCTTCTTTATTTTGCTGTGGCCTTCTCAGAATTCATGAGAAGCACTTGGCAGTTATATATTGCCAAGCCTTGAGACTGCTGGCTCCTCTACTTTGGGAGTTAAAAATCAAAACAAAAACAAAACAGTCCTTTCTTTCCTTTCCCCTTCCTCCAAAGGGCTGACTTCTTTGTTTGGTGGTTGAGAATGATTCCTCCCTTCTCTCTGCTTTTCTTCATTCTTTAGTTAGGTAATCATATAAGCATTTGCTCTGAAGCCTCCTTGGCTGTGGGAAGATACGGGCCTGTTATTTACAAGCTGGCTGCAAATTGCCACACTACTTGGTCTTGTTTTAACTTTATCTCAGTTTCCCTATTCCTCGAGCCCTGAAATTTTCCTAGCTTCTCACTGCCCTGTAACAGAGCCACCATCCTTTATTTTTTCCTCTCACAAGCCATCTGGTCCATCCAGATTGAAATTGCTCCAACCTACTAGAGTAGGCTGCCTCTGAGCCTTTCCCTATGCGGTACCCCAGAATACTCTTAAGTACTCTGCCAGTCCACAGTTAGCCTCTTGAAATCCTGCCCACCCCATTAGGACCTGGTCAGTGTTGCCTTCTACATTAAGCCTTGCTCAGTCTCTCCAGGAGAAATTAATCTTGACTTTCTGTGCTCTGAGAGAGAGCCTTAAACTTTGATTTTAGCATTAAATTTTCTGCCTTATATTGTAGTAGTTTCTGGCATTTTATTTTTTTCACGAACTAGATTATAGAATCTTTAAAATTAGCAATCCTCTCTCACCAAATCCTGTCTACTGATGGCATTCAATCAGTAACTTTGAATGCATCTGGGTCTTACTATTTGTGCATTGAATCTAAGTTTATTGCTTCTACTATAGAGCCTGCCTACATAAACACTCACATGCATATCCCTGTAAGGTACAAAATCTATAGATCTTATAGGCCTGTCTTACTTTATGCAAACTCATTAGGTTTCTAGAACTTCAGAGCTCTGACTTTTTAAATTTGAGTCAGAAAATTAAAATCTCAGTTAAATATCCTTTCTTTCAAATCCTAATTCTGTTCTGAATTAATGTAGTTTGGGAAGCATTCCAGTTTTGATCTGCCACAGTTCCCCTGCAAGAGGAAGTTTATCCAGCAGAACTAAGCCTCTCATCTTGTTACAATTCTCTACTCGCCTTAAAATATTAATACAACTGGAATTCCTGTTATATGAAACTATAAAAGTTGTCAAAATTGCTACCTTTTATGGAAACCTCCTGGAAATGTTAGCCTAAGAAAGGCAGGAGAATAAATCAGGAAACAACAGGCTGGTGGTATTTGAAGGAGACATAGTTTGCTGGTTATAAGACAGTGAACTTTGAGAGATTACATATGACTTTGAATGTAAACATTCTTAATGTCATACCATATTAACAATGTTGTCTTTTGAACTTTTTATTTAAGTAATTACAGATACACAGAAATTTACAAAATAGTAGAGGTCCCATGTACCCTTCACCCAGTGCTTACGTCCTCCTACATAAATATATAATTATATTACAATGTCAAAACCAGGACAATGAAATTGGTAAAATATGTGTCTCATTTTATCATATATGCAGATTTGTGTAACCACTAAAACCAGTATACAGAACTCCCATTGCCACAAAGATCTCCTTTATAGTCCTGCCTCCCATGCACAAATATGCCTGACTCCTGGCAACCACCAATCTGTTCTCCATCTCCAAAACAGGATTTACCATGCGTCTTATAGAAATAGAATCATACAGTATATTACATTATGATTGGCTTTAATCACTCAGCCATTTAAGTGTATCAATAGTGTGTTCCTTTTTGTTGCTGCTGTTTTTCTAAATAATGTTGTTTTGAATATTTTATCTATTTTTTCAATTTTATTTGTTTTAATTTGTTTTGTTGTATAAAAGAGTGTTTTGTGGCTATTGTTCAGCCTGGCACAAGTTGTAAGATTCAGGAGTTCTGAAAACTAAGAAGCATAAATGGCTGGTGACATCTGACCTATCAGACCTTGTCCCTATTCCAGCTGAATTGAATTATTTACCTTACACCACCTTCAAACCCTGGGGATGTCACTCCCTGGTTTGACTGAAGCCTCCGTAGGAAGCATCTGTGAAACTTCTGGAGGAGGTGTTGTTGCCTTAGTTGTAAGTCATCAACTTCGTGTAGGTTGAGTTGAGGATGTTCAAAAGTAGATTCCCCTCCACGATCTCAGAATGTGGCCTGGATTCCAAAGGAAGATTGGCCCACGTGTCTGAAATCCCCTTATTGTGAAGACTACATATTTGCTCTCCTTACTCCCCAGTATTTAGGCCTCACTGAGTGGCAGGCATTGGAAATGCAGAGATGAACAAAACCTTTTTTTTTTATTTTACATTGAGGTAACATTCTAGAGAATGGGATAAACACATAAATAAAACATAGTGCAGGGTCACATAATGATAAATACTAAACACATAAATAAATAAACATATAATGGGTATGCCATAAAATAACTGTGCAGGGCCTGGGATAGACAGTGATGGTGTATGTTGGGAAAGGGAAGTTGTTCCCAGTGAGCACAGAATACCTGAGCCGCATTTCAATACAGACCCGAGGCAAAGAGGCAGCCTTGTCTAAATCTGGGGTCAAACTTTCAAACAGGGAAAAATAGCAGAGGTGAAGGGTCTGAGGCAAGAATGATCTTGGGGTATTCCTGGAACAACGCCTAGGACTCAGGAAATAAGTTAAAAATAGGCAGAATTAGGTCAAGGCTTTCAGAGTCTAATTCCTGGTGCCTCACACAGGTTTCCAGGAAGTTTCAGACTAAAAATCTAGAATTTATTAATATGCCAATCTACAAGCCTCACAAGCAAGTCTCACTTTAACACCTACTGTGCGTGTGCGTGTGTGTGCGTGTGTGTGTGTGTGTGTGTGTGTATAGGGCCAATGTTTGCCACTATGGAGTGGTATTTGGGGTCTTGCTCCCAAATACTCTTCTCAGTTAATAGCACAAATAGTTGGGGGGATTAGTTACCAACATAAACTTAAGGCAAGTATTTTAAGTAAGGATTTTATTGGAGAATCTACACCCTTTTCTCATCTCTAATATCTGTGTCTTACTTGGGGCACAATTGCACTTTCTCCCATAAGATTTAATATTTGCATTACTCACCCTGTGGACTAGAAGCTGCTTGAGGGCAAAGACTGAACCTTATGTGTCTTTGTGTTACCTATAATTAAATTCTATGCCTCAAATTTAGGAACTGGTTGGTGAGTGTCTATTTAACGGAACTTAATACACTTAGGAGTTTTTGTTTGTTTGTTTAAAGGATTTTTTAGAAAGAGAAGAAATTCATGATGAGGTCAAAGGAGCCCATGTGGACAGTGTTTGGGAAGGGTCTGCACATATTATTGAGTGTCGTGGAGCGGGGTGAAAGGGAAAGGGGAGACCCAGGAGACAAATAAAGCTACCTTGCGGCAACCCAGTCATGTTGGTGCACAGAAATCTCATTAGAAAAACTTTCAAATGATGATCAAAACAGGATTTGCCTTGTGATGCTCTCTTTTCTCAGAATATCCCCTGGCCCTCTCAAAATGTTGACACAGGAATTAATGTCATTTTGAAATGGGAAGCATTTGGACTCTGCATTACCTATCTCTACTCTGAGTGCCTCAAGCTCTTAGAAAACAACCAAGACACTTGAATGAGCAAGGGTTGTATATGTTAGTGTATGTGCTCTTTACATCAGGGAAAGGGGCCCAGAGAAAGGGACAGAACAGGAATTCTCTTACTGTAGCTGCTGTGCTTTTTAGATGCTACAGACTTGAGTTATAAATTTTTTATATATATATATATATTTTATTGAGTTTTTACAGAGAGGAAGGGAGAGAGATAGAGAGTTAGAAACATCGATGAGAGAGAAACATCGATCAGCTGCCTCCTGCACATCTCCTACTGGGGATGTGCCTGCAGCCCAGGTACATGTCCTTGACTGGAATCAAACCTGGGACCTTTCAGTCCGCAGGCTGACGCTCTATCCACTGAGCCAAACTGGTTTCGGCTTGAGTTATAAATAACACATTATTATCTGCCATGAAAGCCCTGAGTGTCTGGCCCTTCTGTCATTGTCTATGAGATATTGGATCAGTGGAGAGAGTTACAGGGACCTGTCCCCTTGAACAAATTCAACCAGTACTGGGTTCCTTCTTCATTACGAAGCATTATAGTTCCTGGGCTATATTATAGTTACTGGACTATTATATATCTTCCTTCCTTTTTTTTTCATCAGATTGTACATTCCTTAAGTTTATGGAGTTGACATTTAGTATCTACGGATTTTTAATTGAAATAGTATATATGCATGTAATTAAACAGAAAATTGTTTTCTGATATTAGGGGGAAAAGTAAAATTTAAAAATATACTAAAACTTAAAAACAAACGTTCCCAGATCCAGGATGTGTACATGGCCCAATATGCAAAAAAACTGAAGAGAACAACACAGTCTATTATCTATGATGCTAACAGAAGAGGAGTGATGAATGAAATATCTCTGGTGCAATGTGAACAAAAAAGAAAAGTTACTGAAGATAGACTGAACAATCTTCGTGTAAAACTGGCAGCATTGCTGCAGAAACTTCAGCTGGTGAGTGATGGGACTTTGAATAGTGGGAATATCCTTTGTGGAAAGAGCTCTCAGCTAGATTCCTCTCCTAACAGCGTCTTCTATTTATTGACCTTGGACAAGTCACTAACCTCACCCTTACTCTACCTATAAGGATAGTGAAACAACAGATAAATGAACTTTGAAAGTACATACTAGAGCATTTTTGAAGGCCTATTATTCTCTCTCTCAACAAAATCAGAATCTTGCCTTGTGCTGTTGGTGCAGTTTGATTGCCCTCAGGTCTCCTCAATAGTATGTTTCTAGTAGGAAATTTTTTCAGAAAGCAAACTGTGTTCATTTATTTTTATCCTGATACATAAATAAAAGTAGATTCTTCTAGTCTTAGAGGATAGATTGGAGAGGTCAGGAAACACCATGTATATATGGACTATTGTCCATCTTGTTTGTGTGTATATTTCAATGCATAAAGAAAGGTGCTCAGTGAAGCAGCTGGAAGCTGGACAAATGATTAGCATCCTCACAGGAAAAACTCTTTCAGTTACTAGAAAGGCTACAGCTTAGGACCCACTGGACTTAAATGCTTATTTTGTTACATACATAAACTGTTCTGTAAACTATTTCACCTTTTCAGTCTTCCATGTGAATTGTTAAAGTTGTAAATAAAAGAGTATAAGGTCTACATTTTTACATTCATGTTTATTTCCTGGTAATGGCAACAACTGAAATTCACCATGGGCCTTTGTTGCAAATGTAACTACGTGAAGATCATTGATTTTTGTAGAAAAATATTAAAACTATAAAAAAAATTTTTAAAAAGAATTGTGCTCCTATGAGATTGAAAGTACATATTAGAATATTTTAAATGTTAGGTAACATTAAAAATTTTACCTTCACTATTACACAGAAATGTTAGGTAAAACATATCAAAAATTAAAATATATATAGCCAAGGTTGAAAAGTCTTTCTATAAATGCTAGAAATGAACTGAGAAATCAACAGTGAGCACATGGCATTTTCCTCAGAAAGATCCCTAACCTGGGACAGAGACAGGGCCTTCCTGGGCTGTGCAGGGTACAAGGGCAGGGGCTGAGTCTCCCCAGCGAGCCCTGACAGGGAGGCCTGAGGCTTGTCTTGCCAGGAAGAGGTTTGGGGAGGGACATGGACTTTGAAGGCAGACTGCCTGGGTTTCAGTCCTGGCTGTGAACATTTCAAACGAATAGTCCATTTCTTCTTAAAAACAAATGGATTTTGTTTTCTCTGGGATTTTTGTCTTATATTGAATGCAAAATAAAATGCAGAAAATATTTTTGCTTAACTGAAGTATAGAGCCAAAAGAGAAGACTCCTACCCCCCTTGTGTGGTCTAGGCAACAGTTAAAATGTTTCATTATTAAAATATAAAGGACAATTAATGCTAACTGTTTTCACATAATGGTAATTACATTTGTGCTAAATGAGCCTATTATTGAAGTCGGTTTATTTCTGTAAGAGTGGGATGTGAGTGGAGCTCCTTTTGGTTCTTGTGGCTGTAAAGGGTGGGAAATATTTTTATGGGCAAAAGGTCTAATACAAAGCCTGGCATGTGGTAAAGTTTCAGTCATAATAATTGTTTAAGAAGGAAAACTAGAGAGACCAAAGAAATTCTATATCATAGAAATTGAATATCATTCTTTATCAGAAAAGTTCATAAAAATTGTTGGTTCTCAGAATAGCAAATATGTATTTGGCTAAGAAAAAAAAAGAATAATTTCTCTCTCTCTCTCTCTCTCTCTCTCTCTCTCTCTCTCTCTCTCTCTCTCTCTTTAGCTATTCCTCATCCAAGGATATTTTCTCCATTGATTTTTAGAGAGAATGGAAGGGAAAGGGAGAAACAGAGAGAGAAACATTGATAGTAAAGAGGCACATCAAGCCCTGACCGGTTTGGCTCAGTGAATGGAGCATCGGCCTGCGGACTGAAGGGTCATGGGTTCGATTCTGGCCAAGGGCATGTACCTTGGTTGTGGGCACATTCCCAATAGGGAGTGTGCAGGAGGCAGCTGATCGATGTTTCTCTCTCATCGATGTTTCTAACTCTCTATCCCTGTCCCTTCCTCTCTGTAAAAAAATTAATACAATATATATATTTTTTTTTTAAAAAAGAGAGAGACACATCAATTGGTTGCTTCCTGCAAGTGCCCCAAATGGGGCCTGGATCTAGCCTGCAGCTCAGGTACATGCCCTTGACCAGAATCAAGCCCAGGACCCTTCAGTCTGCAGGACCATGCTCCAATCACTGAGCCAAACCGGCTTGGGCTAATTTGCTCTTTATGCCAAATCCCTGAGCTCTCCCCAAAATAGGGTAATTATACTAATTTAATTTGCTTTTTTCTCAAAGTTTAATAAGGAGGCAAAATGCTTTAGCCCAAAGAGTATGAAACTCTTTATCTACTATCACTGGAGAGGAACTCAAATGTTTTCTGCCCAAATATATTTACTCTCACCCCCCACTTGAAGTTTCCATTTTTACTGTCTCTGATTGCCAGAGCAATTGCAGTGGAATAGAGCAGGGACTCAAGGTGAGGTAGACCCACCAGCAGACACGGCAGGCACATGAAGAAGATGGGAAAGTCTAGTCCACCAGGTAGAGAGCAGTATTCAGAAGATTAGACTAGACCAACTAGGCCGAGAGTGGTCAGTGTCAGAAAGGGTCACACAGGGTATTCCCGAGGGTCGGTGCTAATATTGTGGACACCTGTCTTCAAGAACAGGGTTACGTCACAGAGCTGGGACTTAACACAATTTAGTCTTGTTAGAGGACTGAGCAGGTCTAGGGCAGAGGGAGCAAAGCATGGAATCAAATAAGGGATGGAGAAAGTAGGATGGTGGTGTTACACACTTGTTGGGAACAATAATAAGAGTGGGATTGTTTCTGAAAGGTCCTTCCTAAAAATTCTCTTTTCCATCAGCTCAGTTGAAGAGCAGGTTGATCCCTGCCGGGAGCCGGTCCATCCTTGCTGTTTCAAGGGACCTGGCATATATGGCATACTGTTCTTAATATGTTTGCTCACCTTCTTTTCACTAGGTGTTTTAACCAAGGTCACCTCTCTGAGAAAGGTTGTTTCCCCAGGTAGGGATTTTCCCCTGAAGTTAGGGAGGGAATAAAACCCCTTAACTAAGTGCCAGGCGGGTAATTAATCACTTTAACTACGAACAATCATGCTTAAGCTACATAATCTTTACTCCCTGGAATGGAGTTAAGAAACGCCCTAACCTTTGGAATAGAGATAGATAGGATTGGAATCAACTGGTATAAATACAGATGTAACAAGACAACAGGACACAGAACCTAGACACAGAACCTACACAGAACCTAGAGACAGAACCTAGTGAGAGAACCTGGCTGAAGAACCTAGAGACAGAACCTGGCTACAGAACCTGGATAGAACATGGCAAGAGAACCTGACTAGAACATGGCTACAGAACCTGGCTGGAGAACCTAGCAAGGGGACATGGCTATAGAACCTGGCTGGAGAACCTAGCAAGAGAACATGGACACAGAACCTGGCTGGAGATCCTGACCAGAACTTGGCTGGAGATCCTGGCTAGAGATCCTGGCTAGGCTGCTGATCAACTGAACGCTGTCTCCATGTCATTCCTTCTTCGCTGACTCCGTCCACACCTTTGGGGACCCCTGAACCTTCTGGGGTTGGACCCCAGCAGATCCCATGGTTGGGCCTGAGGGGCGTGAGATTTAGGTCAGTAAAGAAGGAGCATTTGTTCAGCTGTTCATGGATTAAGAAGCCCAGGGAAGGAGAGCATGAAATTAACTCAGAGATCTGGGGGGAAAGAGAGAAAAGGGAGCAGATGCGGGCAGCAAGCCAAGCATTGCAGGGAAAGATGCTGCAGAGGGAAGAGGAGAAACAGAGAAGTCAAAATTTTCCTAGTCATCTGTTTTGCTTATAAGGCTAAAGATTCATGAATTTTTTAAACATATTTTATGATTTTTTTTACAGAGAGGAAAGGAGAGAGATAGTTAGAAACATCGATGAGAGAAACATCGATCAGCTGCCTCCTGCACATCTCCTACTGGGGATGTGCCTGCAACCCAGGTACATGCCTTGACCGGAATCGAACCTGGGACCCTTCAGTCCACAGGCCGATGCTCTATCCACTGAGCCAAACAGGTTTCGGTAAGATTCATGAATTTTTAAAATGGGAGGTAAAAGCCTGTGACAGAGAAAGATGAGATGGGGCTTTAGGAATAAAACAAGTAATTAAATAGAAGGAAAAAACAACAGTGAAATTAACCTCCGATAAAGAAGAAAAAATGATCAAACTTTCTAACTCCTTACAGGCATAAAATGGGGTTAAATGTGAAAACATTTTGAAAGGTTAAAAGCATTTTTCAGATGCAAGGTGGGTTGTGTTGTTACATGAATCATAGAGAAGACTCTTCAGAGGCCACCCAGATTATAGTTCTAGCTTGTTTCCCTGCTATGACTGTTGCTTTTCTTTTCCAGGGAGGTCCAGTAGGAGACATGGAGCAGATTGACAGTTATTTAGAAGCTTTGCTTAAAGAAGATCATCTTTTTGGGAACGCTTTCAATAAAGGAAGTACAGATGCAGGACATAGTCTCCCTTTAGAGAACAATGAAAGTACTTCTCAAAACTAAAAGTCAGAAAAGTCATTCCTTTCTTTAAAATGCTAATAAGAAAAAGGAAACTTATTTTCAAAAAAATATTTCCTCTTGTTATTGTGAAGTTTGTCCTTTTTGACACTGAAGAAATTGTACTAGTTATACTTTGGAAATGGAGGGTGATTAACCCTTTACATACTTCCCCATCCTACTCCCTAACCCTTTCTGGTCTTTCAGGAACTATTTCTCTAGTTCTGTAACTTCCAGGTGAGCAACTAAGAAAGATGAAAATGCCACTTAGGCTTAAATTTTGATTTTACTTGAAAAACTGTAAAAACTGGAAAACAGTGGTTTTCAAAATCAATATACACAGAACTACAGAATCACCTCCTTCTGAAACTTGTGTTGAAAAAGACAGGGATTGTGCCCTTTCTCCACTACAGCCCATACTCAGCAGAAAATACAAATCTTCAAAAAACTTTGAGCTATAGTATAGATCATAATTTTCTTATTGTGCTATTGTAAAAGAAACACTCTTCTAAGTATAACTTGAACACACATTAAACATATATAAGCATTGTGTTTTTACATTTTCTTTGATAACTGACTTTGTTATGTGTTTGTTTAGAAATGTCTGTTGTGTTGTACAAAAACAATAAATATTTAATATTTATTTGTGGAGTTGTATATTTTAATTTTATGTACATTCACAAAGCATAAAATTCAGAACTTGTGAAGTAGGAATATGGTGTAAATTCTTCACCCCTGCTTGTCTAATAGTTTTCTCAAGAGGCATGTTTTTACCAGTTATTGTGAGTCCATTCAAGTAAAATCAGTGCATATGAAACCATACAAATCATTATCCTATCTAATAATAGACAAACATGGTAATTAACCGTACCTCCGACATGCTTCCCATTGGCTAATCAGGGCGATATGCAAATTAACTGCCAACCAAGATGGCAGCCGGCAGCCAGGCAGCTGAAGCGAACAGGAGGCTTGCTTGCTCCAGTGATGGAGGAAGCCAAGGTTCCCCGCCTGCCGCTGCCAGCCTCTGAGCTGCACTCTAAGCAACTATGTTGCAATTATTGAAGCTAAACAATCCCCAGAAACCTACTTTCAGCCAGCCGGGCCTCAGAGCTGGAGTTGCAACAGTGTTTCAATTATAGAAGCTAAATAAAGCCCAGATACCTGCTTTCAGCAGCCGAGGTCTCAGAGCTGGAGCCAAGCCTCAGAGCTAAAGCCAGCTCTCAGTTCCAGTGACAGCCATAGAAGGTAAATAAATCCCAGAATAAAAAGAAAAAAGAAAAAAAGGAGAGGTTGGGAGCTTCAGTCACCCGCCAGCCTGAAAACAGCCCTCAGCCCCTCACCCAGACTAGCCAGGCACCCCAGTGGGGACCCCCAACCTGAAGGGGGTGTGACCAGATGCAAACAGCCATCATCCGTTCATCCAGGCTGGCCAGGCACCCAAGCGGGACCCCCACCCTGATCCGGGACACCCATCAGGGAAAACTAGCCGACCCCCACCTGTGCACCAGGCCTCTATCCTATACAGTAAAAGGGTAATATGCAAACTGACCCTAACAGCAGAAGGACTGGGAATGACTGGTCACTATGACACACACTGACCACCAGGGGGCAGACGCTCAATGCAGGAGCTGCCCTCTGGTGGTCAGGGCGCTCTCACATGGGAGGAGCTCTGCTCAGCCACAAGCCAGGCTGACGACTGCCAGTACAGTGGTGGTGGTGGGAGCCTCTCCTGCCTCCTCAGCAGCACTAAGGATGTCTGACTGCAGTTTAAGCCTGCTCCCCGCTGGCAAGTGGACACCCCCCGAGGGCTACCGGGCTGCCAGAGGGATGTCTGATTGCCATCTTAGGCCCAATCCCCCAGGTAGCGGGCCTAAGCCAGCAGGTGGTCATCCCCTGAGGGGTCCCAGACTGCAAGAGGTCACAGGCTGGGCTGAGGGGCCCCCCCTCCCCCCCGAGTGCACAAATTTTTGTGCACCGGGCCGCTAGTATAGATATAAATGTGGAGTAGCAGCCAAAAGATGCTGATGCTTTTCTACTTTATATACCTTCAAGATCATTCTATATCAGGATCCATACATGTAGAGCTCTCTCATCTTTAACTGCTCCTTGTTACTCCATTCATGGACATACCAAAATGTACTTAATTATTCTCTTATTCAATGGATAGTTACATTTTATCTATTATTTTGGATTTACATGCACACAACAGTGATTATTCTTTTTTAAAAAAATATATATATTTTTATTGGTTTCAGAGAGGAAGGGAGAGGGAGAGAGAGAGAAACACCAATGAAGAAAGAGAATGCATGGATCAGCTGCCTCCTGCACCCCCCACACTGAGGATTGAGCCCACAACCTGGGCATGTGCCCTAGACCAGAATTTAACCTGGGAGCCTTCAGTCTGCAGGCCGATGCTCTATCCACTGAGCCAAACTGGCTAGGGCTGAATATTCTTTTAAATATGTTCATTTCACATAGGTGCAATTATATCAAATCTAAAAGATAAATTGCTAGGTAAAAGGGTATGTACATTTGCTTATTAATAGATACTGCCTAAAAGCACTTCATACAAATGTATTAATATGCACTCCCACATCAATATATGAGTGCCTGTTTTTTTAAATATATTTTTATTGTTGATTTCAGAGGGGAAGGGAGAGGGGGAGAGAGAGAGAGAGAGAGAAGCATCCATGATGAGAGAGAATCATGGATTGGCTGCCTCCTGTATGCCTCCTACTGGGGATGGAGCCTGCAACCTGGGCATGTGCCTTTGAAGCATCCATCTATATAAAAACTGCTGTTTGAAATTTTAACCCTGCTATTTCTGTCTTCTGTAAATGCTTGCTGGCTTAAATAATAAGGAAAATAAGACTACTCCCATTTCAGAGAGGCCATTAAACCTTCCCTAGACAAAGTTATCAGTGCTGGCATCAGGCCAAGCCTTTGGTCGACGTCTCAAAGTGCCAGCACATAGGGCCCTTTAAGAACTTGCAAAGGGAACTGGAAAACCCCCATTTTGGGAAGACAAAGAGGATAAGATAGTATAAATACAGGAAAATTCCTGTGTGATTTCACCCAGAATTTGAGAGACATTTTCCTCTGGGCACGCGCGTAATAAATGTAACTTCATCTCTCTAAGCGTTGCTTGGTTCTTCTTTGGTTTTTCTGTAACACCTTTGACCAGAATCGAACCCAGGACCCTTCAGTCCAAAGGCTGATGCTCTATCCACTGAGCCAAACTAGCTGGGGCAATGCCTGTTTCTTCACACCTTTACCTACCTAGTGAATTATCAATCTTTCTAATCTTGCTGATCAAGTGGATGAAATATGGTATATCTTTCTAGCTTAATGTATATTTCTTAAGCATAAGGTTGAGAATCTTTTAATGTTTAAAGTTCATTTGAATTTTAAATTTAGCCTTTTTTCATTTCCTATTGGGTGATATTTTCTTATTTATAGGAATGATTTTCATATTAGGGAAATTATCTTTTTTATATGTATTACAAATACTTTCTTATAATTTTTTGCTTAAAATTTTTTATAGTGGTTTTAGCTATATAGGATTTTTAAATGTTTTTAATTTTTTTTTCTTTTTTTTTTTGGTGTGGGATTTTTTTTTAATTTTTTTATTTTATTAAATCTTTATTGTTCAGATTATTACATTTGTTCCTCTTTTTTTCCTCCCATAGCTCCCCTCCACCCAGTTCCCACCCCACCCTCTGCCCTTACCCCTCCACTGTCCTCATCCATAGGTGCACAATTTTTGTCCAGTCTCTTCCCGCATCTCCCACACCCCTTTCTCTCCCCAAGAATAGTCAGTCCATTCCCTTTCTATCTTCCCGATTCTATTATAATCACCAGTTCATTCTGTTCATCAGATTATTTATTCACTTGATTCTTAGATTCACTTGTTGATAGATGCATATTTGTTGTTCATAATTAGTATCTTTACCTTTTTCTTCTTCTTCCTCTTCTTAAAGGATACCTTTCAGTATTTCATATAATACTGGTTTGGTGGTGATGAACTCCTTTAGCTTTTCCTTATCTGTGAAGCTCTTTATCTGACCTTCAATTCTGAATGATAGCTTTACTGGATAAAGTAATCTTGGTTGTAGGTTCTTGGTATTCATCACTTTGAATATTTCTTGCCACTCCCTTCTGGCCTGCAAAGTTTTTGTTGAGAAATCAGCTGACAGTTGTATGGGTACTCCCTTGTAGGTAACTGACTTTCTTTCTCTTGCTGCTTTTAAGATTCTCTCTATGTCTTTTGCTCTTGGCATTTTAATTATGATGTGTCTTGGTGTGGTCCTCTTTGGATTCCTTTTGTTTGGGGTTCTCTGTGCTTCCTGGACTTGTAAGTCTATTTCTTTCACCAGGTAGGGGAAGTTTTCTGTCATGATTTCTTCAAATAGGTTTTCAATATCTTGCTCTCTCTCATCTTCTGGCACCCTTATAATTCTGATGTTGGTACCCTTGAAGCTGTCCCAGAGGCTCCTTACACTATCTTCGTATTTTCGGATTCTTTTTTCATTTTGCTTTTCCGGTTGGGTGTTTTTTGCTTCTTTGCATTTCAAATCTTTAACTTGATTCTTGCGCTCCTCTGGTCTGCTGTTGGGAGTCTGTATAATATTCATTATTTCAGCCCGTGTATGCTTAATTTCTAGTTGGTTCTTTATCATAACATCGAGGGTCTCATTAGATTTCTTGAGGATCTCATTAAGCTTATCAGCGGCTTCTAGACAGTTCTTGTGAGACCTTAAAAGTGTGGTTCTGAACTCCATATCCTCCATTGACAATTTTGTCCTGTTTCTTTGTCTCCGCATTTTTTATGCTTTCTTGGTGCACCCCCTAGTGGTCTTTGTGCGCAGTCTTGTTGTAGTTAAGCCTTGATTGTTGTAGTTAATCTGTTTTTAATTTTTTTTTCGTTTATGGCTTCTGGAGTTTGCAGCCATATTTAGAGAGGACTTTCCAATGGAAAAAAGTATAAAGAAAATTTACTTTGTTTTCTTATGATTTAAATAATTATATTGTTAAATCTTTGATTAATCTAGAATTTATTTTGGTGTAAGGAGTAAGTTAAAAATCCAATTTTGTGTGTGTTTCTAGATAGTCACAGTATTGTCCAGAATTATTAATTAAATAATCTTCTTTCCCACTGATCTGCAAACCGCCTTTATTGCATGTTAAATTCCTATTTATATTTGGGCAAAGTTCTAAAAAACAATTTCTGTCATTTTTCATTGATTGTCTCTTCTTTTCTTATGTCAGGCCCATGTTGTTTGGGTAGGATTAGGCAGTAACTTTATATTTCAGGATTTTTCTGTGTGTCATTGCATGTTTCTCATTAAACTTAGATTTAGCTTTTTAGTCACCACCAACCCTCAAATTTTCTGTATTTTGTTGGGTTTGTGGTGATATTATGGATTAAGATAGAGAGAACTGCCTTTTTTAAATATCACATCTTTCTACCCAAGACCAAACAAAATATGTCTTTCTATATGTTCAAGTCTTCATTGGTGTCGTGTATTAGCATTTAAAATATTTCTTCAAATGCATTTAAAAAATTCTAGTTAATATTCATTGTAATTAATTAGATTTATGCTTTGACCTATTATAAATGAAGCCTTTTCCCATTATTTTTCTCCCTCATTTTAACTGATTAATGTTGTATATAGCAAGACTCCTGGTGTTTACTTAGATATCAGTATTGCATCCAATATAAGAATTCTCATATAACTTGTAATAGTTTTTTTTCCTTTATCAACAAATAATAATTATGTAAATTTTAAAAGTATGATTTCTGGATCTCATGTCCTTGTATTCTTGACCTACCCAGACTTTTTCTTCCTTGAGGGATTTTCTTGGTCTCTTGAAAACTCTCATTGCCTTTCTCTGCCATCATCAGTGTCCATTCTTCCTTTAACTTAAAAATTGGTGATTAATAAATGCTAATGGTGATAAGAAGTCAGTGCTTCTGAACATCCTCCTGGCAGACATTTAGAAAGAGTCTGAAGAGGGACTTTCCAGAGAATAGATTTTGAAGATTCTAACAGGATATTCTTCATGTTTTATAAATGAATAATCCCCAGGGCTGAGTCCTTATTATCTCATCAGCTCTAATAGTTTTAAATAATACTACGAAATGAATGAGTTTCAAATTTCTATGATCTTATTGAGCACTTGTTACATAAAATTTTCTAATGAAAATCTATAATGATATTTTGAAACAAAATTAATCATATTCACCTTAACCATTACCACTCCCTATCAAGACAGTTCATGTAAGGGCCCAATGGCTCCAGTTCTTGAGGAATCTGGGGTTTAAAACATGTAATCAGGATGAAGGAGTAGGGACTAAGGTAGAGACCAGACTTATGAACTGAGTCAATAATAGGAATTGGGGGTGAGGGGAATGGTGTAAGGTTAGGAGAGGAGAAGCATGCTTGGGATCAGAGGACCCCCTATGTGGAAATAAGGTGATTCTCTTACTCCTTATTATGGCTGGCGCTAGATGACTTGAGGACCACATGGCAATTAATTTCTATTACTGGAGCATAGATGCAGTTCATAGGCCAATTCACTCAGCTTGGGAACCAGAGTGGGATAAAACTAGCAGGCAGAGAGCACGGGTGGATGCAGACTGGAGAGACAGAAAGACAGAACAGCTAAGAAAGAAAAAGACAAAAACAATGTCAGGAGATCCAATATGTTCCTTTGTCTGCAAACCACACTTTTCTGCCTACTACATCTACAACTTTATTTTTACTACTAATATTGTTACCACTTACCCATTTCCCTCTCCTATACATAGACATTCTTTTAATTTAGCAATACTCATAATATATAGTTTCCCTCATGGTTTTAAAAAATGTTTTTCATCTAAATTTAGATGTGAAAAGGCAAATAGTCTTGTTACTCTTTTACAGATAGGGAAACTGAGACTGGAGAACATAAGTAATGTTCTGATGTAGTTATTAAGTGGCAAACAAAGCTTCGAACCCAGACTTCCTGACGGCAACTCAAAGTTCTTTCATTAGCCCCACTGTGTCACTATAACGTAGGCAGAATTAATGGCTAACAATATGGCAAGAGTTACCCTTTCTAACTTATTGCCTCTGCCCTACACAGAGAGCTGTATCTCTGAACAGCAAGTTAGCACAACCCCATCAGCGGTAAAAGACCTTAAAACTACAGATAAGTTCATCTCACTGGCTTTCTAGTCTTCTTTAGCTTGTAGCTGTAAGAGGTTTAGAGTAGCTTTCTAAGGGCATATGTTAGCCTCCAGTTTTAATGAAGAGTAAGGGACTAAATACAGACAGATCCTACCTGGAAACAACCTGAGGAAAAGCTGCAGACTGAGTCATGATGGGACATAGCACATCTATAGCTGAAGGCCTGACAGCAATTCCTGCCAAAGAGACCTATGTGTGGTACAGAAAATGTATGATGGAATATCCCTCCGGCCTGCAAACTCTGCATGAATTTAAGACACTCTTGGGTTTGCAAGGTCTGAATCAAAAGGCCAATCAACATGCTCATCAAGTCTCTAATACCTTTGACATGAACAAGGTAAGAACTTCCACTTTGCATTTGGCTATGGTTCTGCATTTTGCCTTTTTTAAAATATAAAGTAGCCTGAGGTAAAACATGTTCATCCCTCTGAATTAGGAGGTCTTCAGAGACCCCACAGCTTGTGGGTAAGTGAGTTATTAAATGCGTTTATCACTGACGGCGTGAAAATAATTGGGAACTAGCCACTCCACCCTTGGAAATGTTCTGCATGTAGGGAGTTATTTTAAAACCAAAATTAAATCTCTGCATGGAATGCTAATGCTATCATTTAAACAAATCTAATAAGTGCAGATTGATTTACAAAGACTATTTTCAAAGTGTTTAATGCAATGGTGACATTTTATAGAAAAGCAAATTACAGAAATCTGCTTCCTAAGGTGTGATTGAATCTAGATTGGCAGATAAAATCAATACAAATTAGCCAATGTGTTGTTCATGCCCAAATCAAAAGTGGGAATGCTTCATAATACTTTTCTTTCCCTCGTATCTGACTAATTTAGTTTTTGGGGAAAAACAAAACAATTTATAGTTTTAAATTCAGATAAATTTTAGTTTCTAAAGATAGTCACTTAGCTATTGTCCTAAATTTACTCATTCCTGAGGAGTCCCTGCACATTGAATTTCATGGGTTGGAAAAATATCAAGATGAGAAAAGAAGATATGGAATAGTAAAAATAAGACCAAAAAAGTAATCTGAAATACCAGGCTAAAGATGTTCCTGCCTGCTTTTCCTTGTGCTTTTCGTTATTTTACTTGTAGATCAGTAAAGTTCAAAATGTATTGATGCCATCTAGAATAAAAGGGAAGAGGGAATACTACTCATAGATAAACAGATGACATCGGAAGGCCGGACAAGACAATAGAAGAGAAAGAATGGCTGATGAATTTACGACAATTAAAATGATTGGCTGACTGTTAGGATGTGTGAAATCCAGCACAATCCTTTTCCAAAGCCAAAAAGCAGATAACCAAAGGAGTTAATAACAAAGAACTGGAGTTAATAATCAAGAACTGTGTGAAATTAATGGCTATTTTAATCCCTATAGTAATGTCAGGAACAAATTTCTTTGAGGACATTGCTGTCTTTTGTTCAATGTTATCAAACATGAATGAAGCACCGCCTGTGTAGCATGACTGTGTTTTCCTCATAAATTGTACTTAGCATAGTTGCATGCAAATGGGGCTCAGCCCCTACAGAGTTTACAGGTCAGTGGGAAAAAGAGAAATATTCTGCTTGTGTTTTCACTCTGAAATATGTTCTGGACGTGCTATAGAGTGAATGAGCCACCCCAAATTCATGTTCAAATCTAAACCCCAATGTGATGGATTTGGAGGTGGGGTCTCTGGGTGGTGATCAGGTCATGAGGGCAGAGACTTCCTCAGTGGGATTAGTGCCCTTATAGAGTGACCCCAGAGAGAGTTTTTTCACCCTTTTCTCCATGTGAAGACACATGGGATGACAGTTATCCATGAACCAGGAAGCTGGCCCTTACTAGACAGGGCATCTGCCTGTGCCTTGATTTTGGGTTTCCCAGCCTAAAGAACTGCTTTAAACTACCCAGTCCATGGTATTTTGTTATAGCAGGGGGATTAAGGCAGGATACCATGTGCATGTTGCATGTTGTTTCTCTTTGTCTCTACCTCTATCTCAGGGCGTGCTTGCTTGCTCTCTCTCACTGTCATTCTCGGTTTCACAGTGGAAGCCTGTTCTAGACAGCAGCTTCTTGGTTCTGACAGTACTCTTGAGAGGTTAGAAGAAGACTTCCCATCAAGTTCTGTAGTTATTCTCCAAAGGTGTCGATGTCATATCCCAGGACAGCGACGCTGCTGTTAGCCCTCTGTTTGTGAAAGCACTGTGCATGTCTGTGGTTCCTAGGCACGAGCAGGAACACGTGACAGGTAGTGCTGAGTAGAAGCAAAAGGAAGCCGGCTGTCGGGGAAGCAGGGCCAGACCATGTCCAGACAGACGGCCTAGGGCATGTGCCATAGGAGTGAGAATCCTCTCAGTGACAGCCACGTGGTGGCCAAGCCCATCTCAGGAATGTAAATGACTTGGAAGCTCTGCTAGCATTCGTAATTTATTGTAGAGATTTTATGTTTGCTTAGAAAGCAAGAGCACCAGGCAGTGATGACAAATGCCATGAAAGGTGTGGGGATCGCAACATAAAATCAGGTCATAAAATGAGAAGGCTAATGATTGTTCATTATCAAGTGATAGTAAAAATGATATGCAATTATGCAAAGGAAAACAAAAGAGCCATGGATGTAATTAGATCTATAAAACTATCAGCTGTCCATAATCTGGAGGATTTATTCTTTCTCTGGAGCTCCTCTGCTGCTTTACCTGTTCTGGGGAGAAGTCATTCTAAAATGCATTTCATACTTTCCTCCTCCTCAAAGTGCTGGCAAAACATTTTCTTCTTATCACTCATTATTATGAACATTGGTTGTTACATTTATAAAATACCATGAAGCACCCATGCCTATTGAAGTTGCTGGGGCTAAGCTTCCTAATGTTAAAATTCCTGAAAATACCTGTCTTTGTTAAAGCTTTAACATTCCAATCTCTTTTTACTCTGCCATTTTTTACATTTTTTTAAATTGATTTCGGAGAGGAAGGGAAAGAGGGATAGAAACATCAATGATGAGAGAGAATCACTGTTCAGCTGCCTCCTGCACTCCCCTTACTGGGGATCTAGCCTGAAACCCAGGCACGTGTTCTTGACCGAAATCGAACCTGAGACCTTTCAGTCCACAGGCCGACGCTCTATCCACCAAGCCAAACCAGCTAGGGCTTTACTCTGCCTTTTTTAAACCTGGGTTTGGCTTGTACTCAAGTTAACCAAACTTATTTGAATAGTGCATGATGTAAAAGTAAATAGAGTCTGAAGGTTAGAGTATCGCGTTTATAACAAGTCCTTTGCCCAACCCCACACCCTTGCAGGCTTCTCTTTGGCACTCAGTAACAATAGTTAATGCTCTCTGAGTGCTTATTATAATGTGCCTGTCACAGTTCCAGGCACAGGACATAGACAAACGAATTCAAAGTCATATGATTGTAAAACGTACTGATGTTGGCAACTCAGACCACAAGGAAAGGCAATTAGTTAATTGACCATTGGCCCCAGTGAGTCACTTTAAGACCCATCACTGCACTTGTGTTGAGTCCATGCCTGGATTTAGATAACCACCAATAAATGAGTGCAGCAGAAATAATAAGGCCTATTCATTCCTAAAAGACAGGTGATTCCATTGTCACCTGACTTTGACTCAAGGATTCCGTGGAGGCTTTGTCCACAACCATATTAAGGAGTATTTAGGGCACTTTTCTTGATCCCTTCACCTGGGTCAGGTTAACATTTTGATCTGACATCTCCCCCAAGCTTCCCTGACTTTCTTCCTATTTCCTTCCATATAGCATTTCTCCAAGTAAATGTCTTAAATTGAATTAAGAGGTCTAATATCCAGTGAATAAGAGTCACAGAAAAAGAGCCCAGAGAAAATGTAAGATTATCACAAAACAAACTAGAACAATTTCCTAGACCTATCAGACACAAGGGCCCAGCACAATAAACAGAAAAAGATCAACCTACAGCATATGCTGAAAAGTTTTGTAAACATGGTTAAAAGAAGATCCTAAAATCTTCCAAAAGGGAAATAAATGGAAATCAAAATAGCCTTACTTGGCCAGTGTGACTCAGTTGGTTGGAGCGTCATCTTCTACACCAGAAGGTGGCAGGTTTGATTCCTGGTTAGGGCACATACCTAGGTTGCAGGTTTCTCTCTCTCTCTCTCTCTCTCTCTCTCTCTCTCTCTCTCTCTCTCTCTCTCTCTCCTCTCTCTCGCTCTTTTTTCTCTCATCTCTCTTCTTCTCTCTCTCAAAAAAGAAAAATAACCTTGAGCTTCTTAAGACCTATATAAGAGTCTAGAAGTACAGGTAAATGGAGAAATGCTTCCAAAATTCTGAGGGGGAAAGCATCAAGCCAAATCAAATGTGAGAGAAAATAAAGGCATTCAATGACTGAAAATTTTATTTCACACTTATTCTCCCCCGACCCCCCGCCCCTTAGGGAGCTACTGGAGCACATGCTTCAGTAAAATGAAGGCATCTATTGACAAAGACGGAGTGAATCCAACATAGGAAAATAAATATGTTCCATCCAGGATCATGGAGAAGGAAAGCCCAGATCAAATATTATGTAGAAAGCCCGACGTGCTGCTAATCCAGATGGAAAAGAAGGAAGGGGACTCAGGGAGGAAGACCTGAAAAGATGACATTGATGCATTATCTACTATGTTTGAGAATTTCAAGACAATATTATTAATTGCTGTTTAGGCAATTTAATAGTGCATTTGGAAAAAAAAACACAAGACTAACTGCAAAAAAAAACCCACCCACAAAATTTAAACTGAAGTGACTTAAAAATTTATTATGAAAATTTTACACATCTACAAAAATAGAATAATTAACTCCCATTGACCCATAATCCATTTCAACATATCAAAATTTTGTCATTTTGCTTCGAAGTCTTATTTTTTTTCTGAAAAATTTTTATAATAAAAAAACCACTCAAACATTATATGATTTCACTTACAAGGACTTCATTATTCAATACAATAAAGACTCTATATTTTTATTTTTGTTAATGCTCATTCGAGGAAATTTTTTCCATTGATTTTTAGAGAGAGTGGGAGGGAGAGGAAGGGAGCAGAGGGGAGAGGGAGAGAACCATCAATGTGAGAGAGATACATGGATTGGTTACATTGCTTCCCCAGACCAGGCACCTATGGCATAAAGTAGATGTTGAACAGATATTTTCAAAATAATTAAATAAGATAATAGGGGAAGTGACAACTTTAGTATCCTCACTTTTTTATACACACACTTTTTCCTTTCCATTCTTCTCTCCTTCTCTCCATTTTTGTCTCATATTTATACCAAGGATGGCCACTGTGTCTTTCAAATTCTTACTTAGTGCCCAATTGGAGTGATTATCTCAAGGAAGGTTTTTAAAATTTATTCATTATTTTTTTTTAATTGCCCTTGCTGGTTTGGCTCAGTGGATAGAACATTGGCCTGCAGACTGAAGGGTCCCAGGTTCTATTCCGATCAAGGGCACATATCTTGGTTGCAGGCTTGACCCCTGGTCTGGGTCAGGACATGTGTGAGAGGCAACCAATCGCTGTGTCACTTTCATATGGATGTTTTTTTCTCTCTGTACCTCTCTCTCCCTTCCACTCTCTCTAAAAATTAATGGAAAAATATCCTTCGGAGAGGATTAACAAAAAATAAAAAATAAATAAATTCAAATACTCTCTGGAAGAAAATACATACATTAAAAAATTGTATTGAATTTATTGGGATTGAATTGTATTGAATTCCAAGTCTTGGCTTAATAGTGCTACATATATTCTTCTAACTAATGTTCCAGGTTTCTTTAGATATATTCCCGGAAGTGGAATCACTGGGTCATATAGATCCATTTTTAATTTTTTGAGGACATACTATATAATAAAGAGGTAATATGCAAATTGACCATCATTCCAACACACAAGATGGCCACCTCCATGTGGTCAAAGATGGCCACCTTCATGTGGACACACGATGGCTGCCACAAGATGATCAGCAGGGGAGGGAAGTTGTGGGTTATCAGGCCAGCAGAGGAGGACAGTTGTGGGTTATCAGGCCAGCAGGGGAGAGTAGTTGGGAGGAACCAGGCCTGCAGGGGAGGGCAGTTGGGGGGAACCAGGCCTGCAGGGGAGGGTAGTTAGGGGCAATCGGGTTGGTAGGGGAGCAGTTAGGTGCTGATCAGGCTGGCAAGGGAGTGGTTAGGGGGTGATCAGGCTGGCAGGCAGGTGAGCGGTTGGGAGCCAGCAGTCCTGTATTGTGAGATGGCAGTCAGACATCCCTCAAGGGGTCCAAGATTGGAGAGGGTGCAGGCTGGGCTAAGGGACACCCCCTCCACACCCCTGCACGAATTTTGTGCACTGGGCCTCTAGTTGGTGAATAAAATTATGAAGGTTTTATGTGTACAATTCTATAATACATCATTTGTATATTGTATTGTGCATTCACCACCCAAAGTCTAGTCTAGTCTCTTTTTGTCATCATTTATCTCCCCTTTACCCTCTTCTGTCTACCCCCATCCTTCTTTCCCTCGGGTAATCACCATACTATTGTCTGTGAGGTTTTTGTTTATTTGTTTTACTTAATCCCTTCACATTTTTTCACCCAGTTCCCCAAATCCCCTCCCCTCTAACACCTGTCAGACAGTTCTCTGTATGAGTTTGTTTCTATTTTGTTTGTTTGTTTTCTTCATTAGATTCCACATATAAGTAAAATCATATGGTACTTGTCTTTATCTGACTGGCTTATTTCACTTCACATAATACTCTCCAGGTCCATCCATGCTGTGGAACAAGCTAAGGTTTCCCTTCTTTTTTACAGCTGAGTAGTATTCCATTGTATAAATGTACTGCAGCTTTTTTAAACACTTACCTACTGATGAAACTTTAGCTGCTTCCAAGTCTTGGCTTAATAGTGCTACATATATTCTTCTAACTAATGTTCCAGGTTTCTTTAGATATATTCCCGGAAGTGGAATCACTGGGTCATATAGTAGATCCATTTTTAATTTTTTGAGGAAACTTCATACTCTTTTCCACAGTAGCTGCACCAATATTAAATGTTTTTAACTTGTGTAGAAATAAGAATTTCAGCTCATACTCAGGCATTGAAGAAATGTAACTTTCATTTTTTATAATGCAGTTACTTTATACTTTTAGTCCCCATTTTACCAAGGAGAGGTCTCCCTCCATTTTCCAGGGTTGCATATAAATCCCATGGGCACATCTAAACCTCAAGGTATTAATAGGCATTTGCTAAGATAGCATCATGT